TCTCTCTCTCTCTCCCTCTCTCTCTAAGATTACAAATTTTAATGATTCAAAACATTCAAACTCATTTTCTGGAAGACTTTGTTTGTTGACAATAAAATTCATAAGGCTCTGACGTGAAATCACATTTCGGAGGAATAAAGGATACGAGAGCCAAGACAGGACGTTAGTGTCTAAAGGATTTTAATTTTTAAATAGATTGCGAAAAATGTACCTCAGCCAGGATGTGTTTTGTATTTCGAGTTGTATCACTGTTGTAGCCAATAAGCGATTTGTCACATAAAAGAAGCCATTTTTAATGCCTGTCCGTTCGCGTGCGGACCGCGGAAGTATCTGGCTTGTCTACCTGTGTGTACATATCTACTTTGTCCGCTATTCTACGGATGTAGTTACTTTGTCTTCTTGCAAAGGTATCTATATTGGCTATCTGCACGTGTGTATTTACCCTGTCTGCATCTGTGTACCTACTCACCGAGGTAATCATTCGTGAAATCGAATTTATGTTGCTACTTGTTGGACACGAGATTTTGTGCGTATAGAAAACGTCTTTCCCGATCGCTTTACATAAACGGGCGCTTGTCACCATTGAAGTTTTTATCAATTGAAATTTTGTATTTCCCGGAAAGAATTTTTTTATATATCGTTATACACAAAATGTTTTCTTTCTGTCGTATAATTTCTGTTTGTGCATGCACGAAAGTAATATGAAGAACAATTGAAATATAGTTAGAAAAATAACTTTTGTCTCGTTTTTTTGAAAAACATAAAATTGCAATTAAAAATGTTACACAATATTCTGTATATAATTACATTTTATATACGATTATTGCATTCTTATATAACACTGGCCGACAAATCCAACTTTTTTTTGTAACACGAAAACATATGCCTGATTCTATTAGAGACAAGGTTATTGAAGAAGGAAATAATGTGAAATAAATATATATTTTGGTTGTCGAAAATGTACTGTAAAAAATGAATTGAATATAGATATTTGTAATACGAAAGTTATTAGAATTAGGATTTTCTTTTATATCGCGCGTCAGAAACGTCTGTCCAACGATAACACTGGCCGACAAAATCTGACTTTTTTGGTAACACGAATACTTTAAAATTACAAAACCTCGAAAGTAACAAAATTAAACTATTTCACTGGCAACAAAGCCGTAATAATTAAATACAACGTTAAACGGCAGTGTAAAAGCAGTAAACGTGAAATTTTATAGGTTGTCATAAATAAACAAGACCCGATCGAAACAAAACAAATACGATTTCGTGACAACAACAGATGGAGATATCGAATTAATTAGCAAATAGTTCTCTTGTTACAAAATTTTGTTGACCAGTGCAATTATACGTAAGCAATTTTTTCGGTGCCTCAAACTTTAGTTTTTTTTTGTAAGAAAAAAATACGGCGAAAAAATGATCCTTTTAATTAGCTTTCCATTCTTTGTATTATTTTTGTATGTACAGAGTATGAACAGAGATGACACAAAATGACATAATTATATTATATATGAAAATTTGGTCCCGAAATTTGATGATTAGCCTTGCCCGACTTGAAAATAAAATGATGAAAAACATAGAGAAAAGATATATTCCAATTATAACTTTGCAACTCTCGCTGATCGAGCAGATTTGCAATAATCCGCCCGAAAGCGGTAGCATTTATCTAGCCGTGAAAGCGAATTTAAGGGCACATTTATTCCGCGTCTTGGCACTTGAGATTTGCTCGTTTATCCTTTGAACACACAGACAGACGCGACGAGCGCAGTCCGGCTCTGCATAAATATAACTATTTAAGCGTGAAATCGAATTCACGTTCGTATGCGCCGCATACGCTACACTCATTCAAGAGCGAAGTTAGTAAAAAATTTCAGATAATTTAGCATATACCGTGTTTCTTCGGATAAATGATATAAAAATATCGCTGTTATGCGACACACGCTAATCCGGCGAGGATTCAATATACTTAATTAATTTGATTTGATTGGTAGTACCCGAGGGGGAAACCGCTGATTAAAATCTTGTACACCAATGCCCACTAATGCCCAGTGGGCATTACTTTATCTTATTATCATATTTTATCTTAGTTTATCTTTATAATGCCCCAGCAAGGCCCAATGTCCAAATTATTGCCCAAGGATGCCTACACTGAAAAAAAATCTGATAGATTACCAGTCGGCTGCTAGAAAATGGACGAATCAAAATTCCTTTAAGATTTACCAGAATTCCTTTAGGACTTATCAGAATTCCTTTAGGACTTATCAGAATCCCTTTAAGATCTACCAGAATTCCTTTAGGATTTACCAGAATTCCTTTAGGACTTACCAGAATTCCTTTAAGATTTACCAGAATTCCTTTAGGATTTACCAAAATTCCCCTAGGACCTAACCAGAATTCCTTTAGGATTTACCAGAATTCCTTTAGGATTTACCAGAATTCCTTTAGGACTTACCAGAATTCCTTTAGGATTTACCATGAAAGATATTTCATAACCAGAAGTTTGTTAGACTTCAGTACAAATCTGGTAAATCCTAAAGGAATTCTGATTCGTCCATTTTCTAACAGACGACTGGTTGAATCAATCAGATTTTGTTTGTCAGTGTAGTAATGCCCAGTAATGCCCCAAATCTGCATACCACAACGCCCTCAGCGGTTTGTCCCTCAATAGTACCCTTGAGAAATCCGTGTATACAGCGCAACACACTCGCATATCTGACAAATGCAAGTGGGCGATGTCTGCGCGGCGTCAACTTATATTCCGGAAGTCTAATTAACGCCGATGTTCCCCCGCTAGCGGTCATACGCGCGAACTGGCAAACGCGTCTGGCATCCGCATTTCCGCGTTTATCCCTCGAGTCAACGGCGACCGGCACACCCACGCGACAGGACAAGCTCTCGTTTGGTCCCGCGGCCGAATTTACGTCACCGCTTATATTGTTGATCAATAAGGACCGCCATTCTCGATGCGTGTCGCATCTCGCAGTGGCCCAATTCCGTATCTAGCCAGACGACGATACCCCATTATGACTCGGCTAATTGGTCGATATGATCGATTGAGCGCCGTGCGGCGTGTCAGTCGCGTCGATCGCACTTTTTGAGCGAGGGCCGCACGCACGCGTACGCGTGACGGCAATTTGCACGAGTGTCGAAAGGGAAGACAAAAGGAGAAAAGGAGGGGGAGTAATATTTTTTTATATTAAACGCGCGGCCTAACACACTACGATTTGCTATGTCATTCGGAAGCAGAGGCTAACCTTTGACCGTAGCTCGCCCACGTATAGGCGTACTTATTTGCCCTTGGATCTTATATTAAACTATTATTAGATATCAGTAAGTGTTCAATGGGGTGAACGACGAGAGTTTTCGAGATTATAAAATCTATAATAAACGCGTCGACTTTCTACGATCTGCGAAAGACGATTTTGACCTTTGCGCCAATGGTGGCAGGTACTTACTTAATTGCAAAAGCACATTTTGCTCCGCAACGTAAAATCTTGACGCCGTACTGTTACTCGCTCATTTATTTGTATATTAAAACACCTAAAACTAATTGAGCGGACATAGAAAAAGGTGGAGGAAAAATGCGTTTGAAATTCCGTCCCTATCGGACTTGATGCACGGCGCGCATTAAGATTGTAACAACCAGACCTCGAAGTTATAGTCGGGCTATCGATATTGGCCGATATTAATAGACGATGGAAATACAGCCGGGACTAAATTTATTTGTATCAATAACATCCACCGAAAGCTCGTAACTTCTTAGACCGCTCCGCAAACGTCGCGGCAATTTGATACCGCGACTTCTCATGGACGCGCATTACTTGGCGAGCTACATACATCTGTTAACTTTTCTGTCGCCACTCGCAACGATCGCAATAGTTTTCCCCCGGGGAGCCTAGTTTTTACATCTAACAACAATGACAGTGCTGAGCAGTGACGAACGCCTGTCTAATCGGTTTTGGTTTTCTATTAGTTCTATACCGATTTAATTTGACATTTGAAGAGCGACAACGCCGAGAAAACCAAAGCCATTACAGAGTGTCTGGTTTACATTTCGAGGGTTCAGCGTGTACAAGTGAGTCGATTTGTGAACGATTTACTTGCCGATTCGCTCGCGATTCGCGGGTCGCGACGCCACTTCTGACCGATTGCCGATGCAAGCGTGCCTCGCTCTTACCTTTTCTTTCGTTTAACGCGGCAACTTGGTGGACGTACTTGATTGCCTTTGGTGCACAAGTGCGGAAGAATATCGAGCTAGCGACGCAAGAGGCGCCCCGTGGGTCGCCCCCGAAGGGTAGAAGTGGCGTTCGGGTTGCGGGGATGAAGATCGTTAGTGGGGGGGCGATTGTGTCGCGGTAGTGGAAGCCACCAGGGTAGACTTAGAAGGACAAGCGTGGCACGCGCTTTCAGCAAACTAAGGCAGCCACGCTGCCGGCCGGTTATCTTCTTGCCACTTGCCAGTTATCGGTCGTGCGTCCGCGAGAAAGAGGATGGCTCGTTCGCTCCGCGATTAACCCGTTTTCTCCTCTAATCCCGCTCATGTTTATCTCATCTGGAGTAGCTTCGATTGCCCGCGATTGCCGAAATCTCTTAACGTCCGCGGTGATTTTAAAGTGAAGGGGATTTTAAAGCGAGACGAGGCCTTTGAAAATGCCACGCGTGTAAGACAGAAAGGGCAAAAGATATTCCCGTTACCCCCGACACTAGCCTGCAGTAGCTGTTTTGCATGACACCGCGATGCACACGTCAGAGGAGATAAATAATTGGGGCGAAAATGGGTTAATCTGTACGAAATGAAACAATCGCGCGCAGATTTTGCTAAGTAAGTGCTCCAACGTGTATAATGTTCGGCTCGTTCAGCGATCGCAGTCGGGGGTGCGTTTGATGGAAAGGTCTCGTGAAATTGCCCTTCGATGGTGCATGATTCAAATAAATCGAATAAAACGTTCGTGCAAGTGGATTGTTTTGATAGTGCGCATCGTGCATCGTTCTGGCCTCGGTGACTGTGATTGTGAATTGCCATCGGTAAAGATCTGTGATAAACGATATGTTGCTTTTGATAATTTATAGAACGCACTTGCGATCGTAAGGACCTTTCGATGTTACTGCTCAGGCTAAATTAGTACAAAGTTACAACTGGCATCCGCTAGCAATTTTAACGCAAGATTCAGATCGTAAAGCAGAAATAATTGTAGAATAAAGAAACGCTCTTGCCCGAGGTATTTTTATAGAGGTAGCTGTCCCGCGCGACGTTTGTCGTGCGTGAAACAGCGGCGTTATCGCCCAGACGGCTTCCTTTGCGATACTCGATACGCGGCTGCTGACCGACCTGTTAATAGGCGTTTTGCGCGCTAATTAAAACGGCGATTGCGAAGTACGATTCGAGGAATGAATGTGATTTAATGCGAGATTTATCGGCCGATAAATAGTACGGCGCGGTCACGCGATTTTGCAGTTCTTAAATTTCGGGAACGGCCTCACGTTTACGTTATCGGATACGATCCTGTAAGCGGACGTGCTCGATGTGTAATGGAAATAAAATCTCGAGCTTGTCGGCCGCAACGTCGATATCTCGTATCACGTCGGACCCGCAAGCTCGCGCGTTTTTCCACCGTGCTTTCGCACTGACGCGAGTTTGCTAATTCTTTTTCTCAACGGGGAATCTTATGCTCGCGACTCGCGGTGCATCGCAAAGCGCGAAACTTCCGCTTATTTTCGAATTATTTATTAACTTTCAGCGACGGGAATTCGCGGTAGCGAAGCTCATTGATTGACGCGCAAATTACAACGAGGGCGTAATCGCAGTTTCCGTCTGTCCGGACGGAAAACAAAAGAAAGCAGTTATTCGCATCGCGTTGCAATCAGCCCGGGCGTGCGTAAAGAGATTGTAACGTGCATTGTTCGACTCATTGTCGCACGCGAATTGACGCAGCGCCGCGTAACTTACAGTTAATTCGCTTTAGTGAATTTCCACGATTCGCCTCTCTACATAACGTGTGTAGAGAATGTTGCATTCTCCTGTTCAAGACATTGATAAATCTTTCTTCTTATTTCTCTACATTTTATCGAAATTGATTGAAAATTTATTCAAAATATGATTCCACTTGAAAAATAGCTAAACAAAGTCGTCCTTTAATCTTCTCCGCATCTGTACGAAAACTATTGACGTCAAATTAAGCCTACATTCTACATAGAGTTTTCTCTTTCTGAAAGCGAATATCTTCTCTTCATTCGCCCTTTTCCCACGTTTACTCTTTGTTTTTCGGATTTCTTAGAGCATGTCTGATTGAGAGAACGCTTCTGTTCGTCGCTTCTATTTGTCGTGTGTAGTGTACTTTGCAATTCAGTGATGCGAATCAGCTAATTGCATCTTGTGCTCGGGCGCTTTTGATGTGCGCTAACTTGATGATAAACATAGCGATACGTGTATCCATTGCATCTGCCCATTCAGTCTTCTCAAGACAACTCTTTTCTTTAATGTCGCACCTTTTCTTTCCGAGGGAGAAACCGCTGACCAAAATCTTGTACACGAATGCCCGCTAGTGCCCAGCGGGCATTACTTTATCTTATCATCATATTTTATCTTATTTTATCTTACAAGGGGAAGCTCAGGTAACTCACCCTGGGATTTCGATGCCAATTTTTTTGGTTATTCTGGAGGTGAAGAAAAGAGATACGTGTCCCGGCGTTAGATTGAATAGGCCTTAATTTCGGAGTAATAAATTTGTGAAAATTAAAATTTATTTATTTTTATTGTTTATTCTTCTTCCCCTACCATTAATTACTTTAAAAACTAGAAATTTAAAATACTGTCAATATTATATCCAATGAAATTTGAAATTTAAACAATTTGAAAATTCAAATAACTTACCTTTATATGTTACCCATTACAAATATATTATTATTACTTATTTATTATTTCAAATATTACCACTTAAATAAAAATTCCCTTGAAATTAAATTTATATTAATGTTTATAGTGTGATAATAAAATTTCTACTTCGAAAATTTGCACACTATATCAGTGTCATCAAAATAGATAAAAAAAATAAATTTCAATTTTCACAAATTTATTACTCCGAAACTAAGGCCCATTCAATCAAACGCCGGGACACGTATCTCTTTTTTTCACCTCCGGAATAACCAAAAAAAATAGACATCGAAATCCCAGGGTGAGTTACCTGAGCTTCCCCTTGTTAGTTTATCTTTCTAATGCCCGAGCAAGGCCTAATGCCCAAACTAATGTCCAAAAAATGCCTAGTAATGCCCAGTAATGCTGCAGATCTGTACACCACAATGGCCTCAGCGGTTTCCCCCCTCGATTTTTCTTCATTTTACTGACTCGTGACAGTCGCAGGCCGCTGACGTCGCGTAAATGTCTTCATTAAGAAAATACCGGCTACTAAAGCCGGAGCTCGGATAGAAGACGTTGGAGCTGGAAGCGATATGGAGGAACGCGCGTATTCTGCTCGAATTAAAAAGCTAAAGTAGCCTCCCCGCTCTTTGCTCTGCCGAGGTAACCGGTTGCAATTTCGCCGTCAATCAGTCGCGACATCGGCATCGCGACTCTACAATTTCCGCGAGTACAAGCGCGCGTTGACGATGAAAACGTGTCACGGCCGATCGAACCGCGTATACGGACGCACAATGGCATAACTTACGTGCCGTTGTACCTACGATTAGAGTTGATTTAATCGTAAGTACCCAGCAATCGCCTCCCATTAACGCATCGATAATCGACCTTTCGCCGTCGAGTACTTGGAACGAAATATTCCGTTAATTTATATAATTACAATTTTCTTCGTTTATCTAAAATATTCTATTAAATTTCGCTAATGTCGTACAGCGAATTTATCGTTTCGACAAAATTTACACGGAGTGTTTGAACCATTTGCGAATCGCGCGAATACGTTTTAGCCGCGTCTCTCGCGACGGAAAACATTTCATCTAGATGACGCAAAAATCGCGATGCTTTTAGACGGCACGGTAAAATTTTGTTTCACTCCGTGCGTCGAGGATGGCGCGCTTTTGTGATCAAAGTCGATCGATGAGAATTCACGGTGCCGGGAAGAGGAGCAAGTGGCATCGTGAAATCGTGCCGAACGGTACGTCCGAATTGCGAATCCCATATACGTTTGGTTTTCCGTCGCTCTTATATTGACACTGCGTATTCGCGATTGCTTCCGACGAAATGGGATAGCTGGCAATGGAAAAATTGAATAGTTTCGACCCGTTTCTTACGGGCCGATCTGTATCAAGCTTCAACCTGAATTTTTTATCTGTAATGATATCCCTAAGTTATTTTACAGGGAAAAGAGAAAAATAATGGTTTCCCTGTAGTTACTGTGAAACTGTCTCTTTGTCCTGTGAACAATACCTGAGAACTCTCGTTTCAATTTTTATTGTCAGCTTCTTTACGTCCTTTATTCTCGTTGCTTATAACCCAAAGCAGAACAGAAAATCAGGCAGGAACTTCCGACACTCGTAATTAAAATAATGATTAGCAATAGGGTTTGATAAAACGGCCTCGACAAGTGCAGATCGATCTAGTGCCGATATGTCACAACGCCATTACGTCCGAACAAGCTAACAAATCGATAAGAATGCAACTTCGATTTATGTGCACAGTTTTAAACTTGTTTAGATTTTCAAAATTCCTAGATCAGCCCGCAAAAATCTATAAAAAAATTGCTGGTGGATTCTACATAAGGTAAATAAGAAGTAACGTTTTGTCGCAATTTAGCACGATTTGAAAATTCTCGTGTTAAAACTTCGCGCGATATAATCGCTCTATCAGCGCAAATCTATAAGTTTAAAATATGAATTAGGAGCCGAGGTGGCTTCGTCCGTTTATGGAATCGCGTACATCACTCGTCACGTCACGAGCGAGGGCTCGTTTAAATATCCGTCCTGAAAATAAAGACATTGACACGATCGAGGCGTTCAGTGCACGATGATGCTGGATGGGAATCGGCGCTCGTAGCGGCGTCCAACAGGAAGATTATGAGCCTAATAAGGCTCTCTAGATTGCCAGCGCACGTGGAGACTGAGATATGGCCGCGGTAGCTGGCATTTATGGCATTTCGGATGATCGACACGTCAGACACATCGATCACCGGCAACGTGACCAAATGTGAGTTTTAGGAAAGGCACGGCGGGCATTTTTCGAAAAGGGAAAAAATAGATTTCGCGAGAGAATTTACGGGGGAAAGTATCTTAGATGTTTTATAAAAATTACAGAGTGTCCTTTGACTTCAAAGAGAAAGGCTGTGTGTATCGATGTTATTTAATATCCAGTTTCTCCTGCTAACAATGTATTATTATTACCGAAATAAATTTGATTAAAGGGCGCAGCTTTAATGACAAGATTGATCGAATGAGAGATTTTAGAAAGTTTCACGCATTTTTTGGAAGGGGAAAAATAGATTCTGCGAGAGAATTTACGGGGGAAAGTGTCTTAGACGTTTTATAAAAATTACAGAGTATATCGATGTAATTTAATATCCAGTTTCTCTCGCTAACAATGTACTATTATTACTACAATGAATTTGATTAACCCTTTGAAACATACATTTTTCTATTGAACCATTTTTTTGGTGAAACTTTGTATACGAGGATTTTTGGGATCGCTGATTACGAATCCGTTGTCAGATTTTCATAATTCAATACGGCGGATTCAAGATGGCGGAATTCAAAAGTTAAAAGAATAACATCATTCAACTGTAATTCAACTATGCTAAGGAACATTATTTAGGTACTACTAGGATCCATGGAATCTAAATTCCAGTTGAAAATTCCTCTAGAATATAAAAAGTAGGATGCAAAATTGAAATTTGATAATTTCTTAAAATTTACTCGCTCTTGGCACTACCCAGAGCTAACGACGCGGACGTGACGAGTCCCTAAATACCGTAATCAAACGAAATGCTGAAAAACTTGAGAACTTAAAAAATTCACGTACTTTGCACCCGCCATTTTAAGTCGCCACTAAGCCGCCATTAAGGCCATTTTGAATTTTGAAAATTTGACATCAGATTCGTAATGAGCGACCCCGAAAACTCCGTTGTACAAAGTTTTCAAGACATAATCTTAAAAAACTTGGTCAATAATGAATTTTTACGAAAAAATGCTGTTTTTTCATATTTGTTTGCTTATAAAACTTTTACAATAAATATTAAGTACTACTCAACTTTTCTTTACGTTCTTTCGTTGCTGACATATCCAAAAAATGCAAAAAAGTCCGACCTAAATGCGTTAACTGGAAATTAAATGGCCAAAAAGTAAAGAAGTTGAGGTGGTAACGTGGGTTACCGCCGTGCTTCAAAGGGTTAAAGGACGTAGCTTTTTACGGCGTAAACGGCCAGATTGATCCGCTGAGAGTTTTTAGAAAATTTCAGGCGTACCTCGAGTAAGGTGGATGAGAGAAATGAGAGATTCTTCTTTCAATAAATAGAGGCTTATGGGGATTGTAAGGGTTAACTTGTACGGGCGTACCCGAACGGGGAACTATAAATATAGGCACCCCTTTGGCGCACCCTCACCTCAACTACGTCAACTATGGAACGGCCGGTATCGCGTTTAAGAATTCATCTCGCGCCGGGAAGAAAACTTCTGCCGTTGTTGCACCGTGCGGACGTCATTTGCGCGCTTTACCTTAAAGACCGCAACAAATATAGCCGCCGTTATAAATATATGAAACTCATATCTCGCGTACAGTTCTTGCTCTGCGCTTCGCTGGAAAACTCGGGAAACGGTATAAAACAAGTTATACAACCGGCAGGGAGTCAATGCGGAACATTTATTACAACTCTAATCTGTATTCTTAGCATTTCAAGTTTCATTGCGTTAATATTCATCGAAATCATATATTTAAAACAACTAAGGAACGCGAACGTAATGGTTTATCATACGCGGAGAGAATCGTCTCTTAAAAATCATCGTGGGTTAACATGGCGCTTTGAAGAATTTTGTGAGAGTTTTTGGAACTTTTACCATACATTCTACTAGTAATTATACTTAATATACATTTTATTAGTAGAATGCATGGTAAAATTTCTAAAAACTTTCATAAAGGTTCAAAGCGCCACGTTGTCCCACGATTACACGATTTTCAGGATAAATTTTAAACGAAAATTCTCCCCGCGCGGTGATTAATTTTTCCAAAAGTTTCCCATTTTGAACAGTGGAAGGATCGGAATTATTGTTATCTAGACGTGACGTGACAGGAAGGAGTTCGCACAGAGTTCTTAGAGTAGCATTGCGCCAGAGAACCGAATTATAAGTGGTCACGTTTCTTGTTTTCGAAAAAGAAGAGAATTTATTGTACTGCAGTAAGTTTGGACCGATATTACTCTTGGCGATAATTAAATCGACGCACGACGCGAATAGCAGTGAGCTCAAGTGTAGCGGAAGTAGTGGGTGCCCTATTTACACGGACGTAATTTCTTGAGAGTAAGTGGGACAATTCTTAACGGTATGAATAACAAAACAACACTTGACCAGAACGCAGCACGCGCGGCCGTTTAATAATCAATTCGTATCAGCTCAATGCAGGCTACCTCGGTCATATTTTATGTCCATTTATCGCGCGGCGGTAGTAATGTCTATAATAAGGATCTTGTAAATCTTAATCGCGTCCCAGCAAATAGAAATCCGAAGAAAGAAGGAAGAAAATGACGGATTAATATCTGCACGCACTTAGGATTACAGCAATTGTCCCGTCGGTTAGATAATCGATTTCCGATAGCAAATTGAGCGTCCTTCGGACGTATGTGAGACATAAGCGTGTGCTTATTGCGGTAGTATAAGTTATCGATACAATGTTGCATTAGACCGCGGATATATTCGCGTCGTGTGTTAAAAAAAAGTCCTCTTTAGACAAATTTTTTGTACGTGACGATTATTTAAGTTACTCGTAATTTTTAATACCTCTCTTTCCAATCTGATATAATTACAGTTTATATCAATAAACGTCCCCGTGTATCCGAATCCTCTGGTCTTCCAAAATTCACGACTCATATTCTCGATACGCTCGTTGATTTCTCACTCTTGTCGATATCGACAAAATATTTCGATTGTTTACTTCCTTTTTCGTTCCTTATCCCCGCGAGCGATGCTACGGAATGGCCGAAGCCGAGGGAAGTGAGAAGGCGAATAAGAATCGGTAAAGTTAGCAATAGCGCTTGACACGCTGTCTAGAAACTTTTAAAATTGCCTCTGCCTTCTATCTCCCAAGATTGCGCTTCTCACGTGCTATTGGAAAAAAAAACACAGGAGGGAAAAGCTACGAAGGAGTGATCGAGGTCGATTAAAAAATAGACGACCAGGCTGCCAAATGCACGTGCAGTCACGGCGAGATTTATCATTCGGGAAATACAGATTGTCCCGCTGCTATATTCTAAGCGGCGTTACGATATTTCGACGTATGACGGTTATTTATTTTCGGAAAGAAATATAAAAAAGAATATTAACTTTCAGGTCTGTAAAGTAGGACTTGTAATATCAGTCTCTAAATGCTACCGATATATTACACGTTATATTCTAATTATATGCATATGCATCATTGTTTTATTATTTTACGTGAAAAGATCTGTATTCTCCAATATCTGCATTTTTGATAATGTCGACTGAAAAGAAAAACGATGGCTTCTTTCCAGAGAAATGTTCTCCTTCCTCGAAAGGATAGCGTTTCGCTCATGAAAGGGGATGTACATACTTTACGAAAATATACGCGGCGCGAGGTATCGTGTCTCTTGGTACCGTGCGTTTTTATCTCTGTAAAACATGTGATAATAATATAACGATAATAATAAGTGCAGAGTGCTATACGGTATCGATGCGACAGTATCTTTGCAAGATATAGTAACGTAAGAATAACAGTGGTTTCGTTTTTACCGACCGCCTTAATATCTGTTAGAGATATTTAAAAAGAATGAGTTGTGCAACAGCGAATTACCTATTTTTCCAGCTTATTACAAAGTTTTTGAATAATGATTACTTTGGAAAAGAATAATGGATTGCATTTTTATAGCAGAATAGGTAATTGACCTTCTTTTGATAATTAGAAACTTAATATTTAAAATACTTATTTTTATCGTTTTCTACTTTGTTCAAAAAATTGCTCTCTATTATTAAACGACTAGCAGATTTTCTCGAATAAATTTATCATTTACAGTCTCATAGTTAGTTAACTATATTAATATAATATTAATTACTTGGTATAATATACTATTGGTTGTACGTATATTTTATTCTTGTACGTAACGTTACCTTTGTCCCACTCACAATTTATCTTGTTAAATTATATAATAAAATACTAGAGTAATAATGAAGAACAATTTTCGCATTAATAAGTTTTAAAAATATTTTAGTACGAAAATCAGCGCGGACATTAATTTAGTTTTTATATTTATTTGTAGTGTTATGTGTTTTAACATCCCGCATTATTAAGGGTAAAAGTTAATATATGTATGTAACATGAGATATGTAATATACATTTGTTACCTTTTATTATTTGTATCGTAATACATATTTATAATTTTTTATTCTTTAACAATTACATTTATCGAAAACACGTAGATTAAATAGAATCGCATATGCAGATGATAAGCCGTCATGTTTCGCGTGTCTTTCAAATATTTAGCTTTTCAAATATTTTTAATCTATGGATTTTTAACTTTTCACTTTTATTACATTGTCATGGCCCCTTCTGACTTTTTTTTTTTGAAAAATGTAGTTATTCGTTCGGAATATTTTATCGATACCGTTTGCGGAACAAACACGCGCGATTCATACAGTTTCCTCCCGTATGACTCGAATATTCATCGATCCGTGTCGAGGCACAAGTTATCCGCGACATATTTTCCATGTCTTCGTGCACCCTCGTTTTCCATTCCTGCCTGCCTATTCTCACCTCTTTGCCATCCCATGACAATCGCACGTCACGTGCGACCGCGCATATCGTCAACCTCTGAATGCACCTTCGTGCACGGACAAAAATACGCACGTTCTTTTTTAAAATTGATAACTGTTATCTCCATCATTCAAAGTTCCAATGTAGACTGTTTATAAGAAATGATTTATAAGTAATCCGAGTCCATGCAGCACAGATGGTTGCAGTTACATTGTAGAAAC